GTTTTTAGCGTTTCTGCTCTCATATGAAAGCTCAAAGACCCAGGGAGTTGATCCCGGCAACGATTTACACAATCTCGTCACTTTGGGGGCCAAACAATCTCCTTTTTCAAAAGATACTGTGGGGGTGCACTTTTAATGCTAATGAGCTGGCCAGAAATTCTCACTTGAATTAGTGGTCTGCACCCATAGTGATATCGGTCCACACACAAGTCTCGCGGGCTTCTTGTTATTTTGTCGTAAGAGGTCGCTGTTCACATACATTCTTCGGGTTAACGTTATCACCGGCCCGAACTCTTCATGTCTGTTAATGTCTAGTCTGTTTGGTGTGGCGAGCGCTCACAAAAATACAAACAAGTAATTCCATGTTTTATGTTTCCCGAGCTACCTGCCCTACTCTGACTCTGGGAATCAATCAAGTACATCATGCCGGTAAGTTGATCCGAAAAGAGTGAGTGTCTTGTAAAAGAAAAGCCTAGGGTAATCGTAGCGCTAGGCCTATACTACTAAAAGTACTAGCGTAACGTTTCTGTCGTCAGGCTGCTGGTCAACATGGGCCACTCCCAAGCCTAGCCCCGGCCCCAGACTGGGGGCCAGTCTTCTGGACTCCCTCCGTAGTCAGTATCCTTGGCCCCACAGCGGTCAATTCAAAAAGTGGAGACTCTGCAAAAACATCTTCTATGAAATCCCTTTTGTGTGTGTGGATCACTCTAGCCCAGGTCTGACGTCGTCTTGGCCTATATTGCATTGCGACTAACGTCCACGCTGGTGTAAAATAAAACTCCTCCTCCTATGATGCCAAATTTTTTTCAATGTTTTTTCTCTCATTTTTACTGGCGAAGACAGCTCAAAATGTTGTTCACAAGTGCCGTGTATCCCGAATTCCATAAATGTTGTGTTGCAATTACTAAATACGCCCACCATGCCCACGGACAATGTGTTTTGCAGGAAATTTTGTAAAACTCTGTGCTTTCCATTGTGATTCGTTAACGATGTACATTCTATCGTCTAGTACGTGTACTTGTACGTGCACGAATTGCATGGCAATAGACCGCCCCTTACGCATGTGCGGAAGTGCTGGGGGCGTGAAGAAGTCACAGATAAGGCCATGTCCAAAACGTGCTTCCAAAGCTACGGCTAGGTCTGTTGTCTGTGTGTCTCCAGCATTTCCTATGGAGCAAAGACCCAGCCCTAGACAGCATAGCTGACAGAATGTGGGCCATGTAGGGGCCTTTTGGAGCATGTGCAAATACTATACCAGATGAACGTAGGTCATTCATGAATGACGACGGAAAGCGTGAAGGCTAGAAAAATTTCCTGCAAAATACATTTTCCGCAGGCTTATTTAGTAATTTCACAGCATTTATGCAATTTAGGATACAAGGCACTTGTGAACGACATTTGAGCTGTCTTCGCCAGGTAAAAATGTGCGAAAAGAAGAGTAAATGAAGACAAGGTCCAACCTGGGCTAGGATCACTCATACTTCCTGAACAGTAAGGTAGTACTCCGTAGCTACACCTTGCTCTTGTTGACACTTCAGTGCACTGCAATATTCCCGTTAAAAAAAGTGGCTGTGTTTATTACATGGCCCTCCACTAACGGCCACACCACTTCAATGGAGAAACTGTGTACACTTCAAGGAACTGCAAAGAAAACTGGAGGTCAACTTGGTCCAGCTAGTGTATTACACTGATAAGCAAAGCCACATGCTACAATCCTCTTGAGTACACTGCTGTGTCAGAATTAGAGCACCCTCTTGTGGTTGTCTTAACACATTGCACGGTGCATATGTGACCTTTGACCTCGTAGCTGGCAACGAGGTGGAACAGGTGCCTGGGCGGTAGGGTGAGGGGTTTAAGGGAGGGGGATTCATAGCAAGGGAACGGGACTTTTGGAAGAAAAAAGGGTGACCCACTTCCACCTCCCCCCTCCCGTCTGTCTTCTTTCCCTCTTCAGTATCTCCCCATCACTCTTTCTTTCCTTGATCACCACCTCCTTCTAAGCTGGCGTCCTGTTCAGATTTAAAAGCATGGAGACCGAGCCTGTACAATGTATATGCACCAAACATTACGTTTGTCAATTTTAAAAGGTTAATGAAATGAGGTACACTTATGTTACATACAATAAAATCCCCTTTTTGGTGGGTAAGGAGGGTGACTTCCGCATTTCTCAAAATGTTTCAACATGGCCTGCATGTTGTTTGGATAAATACCCGAGCATTGTGCACCACTGTGGAAAAGTATTTCCTCACCATTTTTGTGAAGAGACAAAAGTCTCGCCACAGAGTAAAAGTACCGCTGGTTTTGAAGTTGGTCTTGCTTATTTCTCTTGTTAGCATTCCTTTAATTTAACATTTATGCTACTTCCTGAAAGAAGGGATCTTACATTTAAATGCCACAAAACTACAAAATAATATTTACACAAATCAATTAAATTTATTTTGTAAACAAACACTTTGTCTGTTCGTGGAAAAGCTAAAATTCATGTGACTTTTGTTTTTCATGAAAACGACACACACAGTATACAAATTGTTACTTGTGTATACATACTGTACGTACATGTACATTTCTGGAGCCAACTTTGTGTCTTCGTGAAAATGGTAAAACAAGTTTTGCCCTTGGATTTGCCCTTATGCTCTACCTATGCAAGACAACTATTTCTCTTCGTTCAAATGGAAAAATGTGGTTTAGTTGAACCTTTACCCTGTGGGGATCATTGTGATTTGGTTGATTTCAGTAGATTTGGGAAAATTGATTACAACAAGTTGTAGACGTCACATAGCCTAGTTGATTTTGTGTAAACAAAGGGAAATTGAAATCACGATTGATTGAACTGATGAAGACTATTTTTGCTATTGGCTGCTGTTTGTGCCTTTGAAGCCTCCGGACCTCTCAAGCCTGTGTTTGCCGTCTGAAAGGCTTCAACTGCGAGATTGCATATGATACACTTCAAAGCTCAGTTGACTGTGAGGGTTTCAAGGTCAATATCCACACTTGCAATACATTCTGCCTAAATACGTCTCTACCAAATTGCTAGAAAAATATGAAGAAACAGCCTTCTCAACAAGAAAGTAAAGATGCTTAGGGCTTTGCTACTGGCACTGGTCATTTTCCACATATAATGAAAGCATCTGGGGTACCAATTGCACCTTAACTGAAGGTGTTATCAGGGTGTACACGTAGCTTGAGACACCAGTTATTAAAGTCCTATATCTTCTGCCTTCCAACATGCTTACTTTTTAGTTGGTTGTAATACTTACTTTTGAATCCAGCTTATTTTGAATCCATCTACAGATTTGCAACTACAACTCTGGTGTAACTATCTGAAACAAATCTTTGCCCCAAGCAGCGGTGCTCAGCCATATAGTCAATCCTAGCCCCAGACTAGGGTTAGCTTGCTGTCCATTTTGGAGAATGCGCATTTGGCAACAAATACTCATGCTTGAGCGGATACAGACACATGTGCTAACTACATGTACGCGCATAAAGCTTCTTTCTCTTGCAGATCTGACTGCTGTACGTGATGGAGCAAGTAGCACTGGTATGGCTACATGTATGCAAGTACTGGTGGAAGTGCGTCTCTGATCACATTCAAATTAAGATACATTTCTGTAATCAATGATACATGCACCTCCAGCCAGTTATCAAGGTGAAGTCATGTATGTATTTTTGTTCTGTTCACATTATCCTGTGTAGAGTAACCAGGCTGATGACAATGTGCGTGTGGTGGTACGCTGCCGTCCTCTTAATGAGAAGGAAGTCAGTCAAGGGTTTAGTTCCATTGTCAATGTTGATGAAATGCGTGGCACTGTACAGGTAGGACCAGCTTCAAGTGTGTTTTTCTCCATTAAGGTATATTTTGTCCTGGTAATTTCAAATCAAATCCACAGTCCTATCGACTTCAGACAAATAGTGAAGTGAGTTGGACTATGCACACAACAATGTGCAAGTGGCTATGGTGTAATGCCCATTGAATAGTCTGTGCACCAGTATCACATCCATTTATCATGGCTCTTGACTAATGATGATATCATGTGTACAGGGTGACCCCTTAGGAAACACAGGCCAATCATAGCATTTACATGTATTTTCTCCCCAAATAATTGCCAGAAATTGTTGTTTGAATTATTGCTGTCATCAGATTTAAAGGAACTCTTCGGGTTTGAAAAGATGACATCCTCAGCTTCAATTTGATACCAAAAGCAATGACATCATTGGCCGGTGTTGTAGTTGAGACCATTATAAGACCTTTCACAAGACCAGACACAAGACCATGCACAAGACCATGCACAAGACCAGACACAAGACCAGACACAAGACCATGCACAAGACCAGACTCGAGACCATTCACAAGACCATCCACAAGACCATGCACAAGACCAGACACAAGACTTCACAAGTCATTAAAAGGTGATCCAAATGTGAAATACATATGTAAGTGGTACGTTTATATATCAAACAAACACGAGTGGAATACAGAATAATGTAGTCCGTCTGCATCCCACATACCACGAGGCCGAAGGCACACACTACCGGTACATTATCCTGTGTTCCAGGAGCGTGAGCGTGATAACGAATTTATCTTCAAGCAAACTTGAAACTTGAAGCAAAGATGTTATTGGGGCCTATGCACACAAATGTGCCACCTTTGAATTGACAGCAGTCCATCATTTTTAAGGAGCGGCAATTGTGCAGGCGCTCCTATCACACTCCTCAACAGTTCCAAAGGAACGTAAAAAATCATGCTCCTCAAAAAATCTAAGGGTGCTTTACAAATAATGAATGATTTGACAAAAACAGTGGATAACATTACCAAAAAAGGACTATATGATTCTTTTGTAATAATGTACGATTCCACATTTATCTTGCCATGACTTTCATACATATAATGATTGTACCAATATGATCATCACGAGTGTAGCCTGCCTTTTGATTGGATCCATTAGCTGGCCCTGCATGCATGTATAGCATGTACATCTTCTTGCATGTGCATGTTTGTCGCATGCAATTTCGCTGTATGTGGTACAAGCTTTTAAGTGTTTTTACTGGTCGGTAAAAAGTTTCGGTGACAAGAGAGCCAATCAGTATCAATCTTCTTTATGGAGCACTTAAGCAGAAAGCGGTGTGCCAGAAGCTTTTGGTTGTCATGAAAATGTTGCCTCGTGCCTACATGTAGCATGTTTGCCCTTTGAATTCATGCAGGAACCCCCCCCTCCTGTATTGGACCATAATTATGCATAAACATTGTCACGTTCGTATGTGAGTGTTGGTTTGACATTTTCCATTTTGATTGAGGTGGGTTTGATACAGTCTACATCAATTGAACAAAGTTGAAGTGGTTTAGACTTCAAATACCCCTTAGGTTTTTTCAAAATTATGGTCACTGTTAGTGTTTTGAGTGAAGGAAATGCTCAAATCAGAATGAAAAAGGTTTACTTCCACTTTCATTTACATTCTTTGAAAGAGACATGTACAACTGTGTTGATTTGTAGGTTGAAACTTATTAGTGAATTTTTAATTCGCAAGTATAAAGATTCTGGTTCAAACAAAAAGAAAACAAGGACTGAGGTGATTTACGGTATGTATCGTAAACCCATTAGAACTGCATGTAAATACACTAAATTACTTCTAAAATTGTTCCAATAACATTAGAAACCATCAGAAAAAGTGGAAACAATATACCTCCAGGGTACAAACAATCATTTGATCTCGTTTTGCATTTCTATTAATCAGTTATTTGAAGGAGAGCAGTTTGCTGTCCTGAGCGTTTTGAGGAGAGTGATTTACAGCTCCTGGATTTTCTTAAAATGAAGGACTGTGACAGTAAACTTTGCAGATCTATGTGCATTTTGCTTGCAGCGTAAAAAAGCGCAATGCATTGAGGAAGAATAGTGCATCATGCGAGGTTTGATATGAACCATGTAATACAGTGACATGTACAGATCACACTGTTTGTTGCCATGGATCGACCAATCAGAATTGACAATTAAAGTTTGCTTGAAGATAATACTAATATTATTATATAATAATATATTATTATATAAGATAACATATTATTCCAGTCTGAAACAGTAATGTGAACTTACTTTCCTATATGGACATCGCGCTTTGTTTATTGTGACCAGGTTCAGAATCCCACAGCTCCCAAGGGGGAACCACCCAAGTCATTTACATTTGACACGGTGTTTGCTCCTGGTAGTAAACAGACAGATGTTTATAACCAAACAGCTCGGCCAATAGTAGATGCAGTGATGGAAGGCTATAATGGTAAGATCATGATCTACTTTTAAATGCAATTTGCATGTTCAGTGTCACTGTGTAGGATTGGAGTCTGACAGCTCTTGAAAATTGGCCGTCATGTTTGCCCTCATAAACCAAAAGTTCTCTTACACTTATGCTTAATATACAGAATGATGGAACAAACTGGGATATCCAAACTGGCCTATCAGGTGTCTAAGAGACAATCATTGAATCCTTCTGATAAAGCCTTAACCCTGCGCAGTGTGTAATTGTACACATTCTCATTGTGTATCTGTACCAGCTGATTTTGACATATCCACAGATGATGAATGGAAGATTGGTTTGAAATTTGTTTGAATGAGCCCATGATGTGTCTTTTCCGTGAGCGATGAAATGTAACAAGTACTCAAACAGTTTAATTATGTAGCCATAATGTACTTAGGAGAAAAAGATCCACTTCAAAGTTTGCAGTTTGAAAATTCATGTCTCATGAAAATGAAAGTCTTGGTTTTGAAAAACTGGAAAATTTAACAAAATTTGACATTTCTGACCATATGTTCTGATCATTCTAACACAGAGGGTTTTTGGTTTGTCTGTTTGAAATCATGATTCTTTCTCTTTATTGTTGTATTTGTTGCATCTGTGAAGGTACTATATTTGCTTATGGGCAAACTGGAACCGGCAAAACATACACCATGGAGGGTGTAAGGTCACAGCCTGAGCTAAGGGGAATCATACCCAACTCCTTTGCTCATATATTTGGCCAGATTGCCAAGGCAGGGGAGAGTGTCAGGTAAGAACATGAAACCATGGAAAGTGAGATAATTACAATGCCAGTTCTGCATGAAAGACTTGATTGCAGGGTTCATCACTTGACTGACAACCACAGAAGAACAACAAACTAAAATGTGCATTAATTAAGCACACACCAGAGAGAAGTGTTAATATGGCTACTAGTTGGGCTTTCTTTGCACCGTTAAAAATAATAACTTAGAAAAAAAAAGTTTCCATTTTTGTGAAAGTTGTACACCCTTGACTCAAACCCCCAACTGGAAATCACAACCAATGTTATTCAGATTAAGTTTCATGCTGTTGAATTAAAAACTGTTTTGTTTGTATCTGTTCTTTTGAATATTAGTGTTAGAAAATAGAAACCCCTATAAATCCACCTCAAGAATTAAATGAGCAACTTTACTCTTAGAAAATATGATACGGTAATCTCCAAATTCAGTCTTTTAGCAGTATAAATAAACCTTGGACCTTGGCAACACTTGGGAGGGGGGACTGAACCGTAGGTCTGACTTCAGTCACTCCTCAAGCAGCTTACATGTAGGTTCGTTGGTGTAACTAACACAACTACATGTACAGTACATGTATACTGAACATCACCTTTTGTCCTGAATTTTCTTTGCACTTTTACCAATTTCTACAAATTTGCTTTCAATGTAAAAAAGTTATTGAGGATTAATAGTAATGAATCATACTTTCGATGGAAAAACGGCCAACAGGTGGTGCAGTCTGTATTGTTCATGGGTACATTACACATGTGCATGTTGTGTGTCCATAAGCAACCATGTAGACTGGCTGCAGAGTGTGTGTATGCAACACTGGTGAGTCTGGTGCAGAAAACTTTGCACGATAATTGCTACAAAACAGGTGGGTTTGACCTTAAAAAAATCACAAAAACAATAAATAAATAAGCAAATAGAACCTAACATTTGTCATTTAACTCGCAGTAATCTTTGATAAATACCTTGCTAGTTTTGATAATTTTAATGATTGCCTGACTGACATCAGACAAGCGCACACTACTGTGCTGCACTACTGTATAAGAATAGTTTGCAGTGGAGCCAGTTTATATTAAAGTGCCATTTTACCTGCAGGGACCAGTGTAACTGTCTTGCATGTTGCTCAACGCTTACAAGTAATGACTCCAGGAAATTTGATTTCATTTTGCGATTGCACTTTCAGTAAGGACCACCTGAAAGATGAAACATTAAGGGAGATGAACATATAGTGAAAAAAATGCAGGAATTTCCCTTTTTTTATTTTCAGTTTTTACTTTGTTGCATGTAAATGCTGGCCCCAAATCCTGATGCTGACATCTTTGTGAGCTGGCCATCTCGTAAATTGAATGGGCTGGAGTTTGGAAACTAGATGAAAATTCCTATATCAGACAACTGCTATACCAAACATTTTGTGGACCTATTCATTTTTATTATAGCGGCATTCCACTGTTTTTATTACTGATGGATTCATCCTGCTAATAGAGATGTGCGGTATGCATTTTCACATGTATCGTTACCAGTAAATTTTGATGTGCCTGATTTTGAATTCTTTTAGTGCATTGTTTATGAAGTGCTGGATGTTTTTAGTTAAAAGAAACACAAGCAAGGCACCAGTCTGTATTAAAGATCCAAGGAACTGAAATATGCTCCATACATATATTACTCAATAGATAGCTTTCGCTAGACATCTCTATCGATCTGCAGTTAAGTAGCGAATATTTGGTTGAGATACATTTGGAAACACAAATCACAGTCACTAAAACTCGTGACTCGAGGTCAACTTGAGTCAAGTCAGTTACTAGAGTCACTAAACTTCTATAGTCACCTAAAGTTGCTGTAACGTAACTTCCGTTTGGGGGAACAATTCAAGATCTTCCTTGTTTTGTTCACGGTTATATTTATACAAACCTGCAAACTTCAAAGGGCTTGTCTTTGGTCATATTTGATTGCTTTCTGCATTGTGGTGCTATACATGTAAGTGTACATCAGCATTCCAGCAGTGCAGTTATCGATACATCCGTAAACCAGTGCATTTCTATTGGTAATGCACCAATAATGGTGATGGTTTCAACCAGTGTTTGAATTGATTTTGTAGGTTTTTGGTCAGAGTGTCATACCTTGAAATTTACAACGAGGAAGTGAAGGACCTCCTAGGCAAAGACCTATCAGCTAGATTGGAGGTAAGCTGATGTGGCAGTAATCTTCCACATGCAAGATCTATGTGTAGTTGTAACATCAATTGCTACTTATAATACCTGCAATACTCTCATGTCTTCACAGCCGTTCTTTCTAACACTAAGGTAAGCCTATATCCAGGTTTCATAAAATAGGCTACAAACAAGACTGTATCATCTAAAAGCAATAGTATTCATTAGTTTTAATGTACACAAAATGGTAATTTTTTCTCTAATGGAAAGCTTTGCTTGTCATGCTCTTCCCACAGTTACTGCATGTGTTAATCATAACAATGCAAACAGATCCAAATCCCAACCCAACGATCGGTACAAAAATAAAACAACTAGTGTATTGTAAAAAGGGTGCTGAATCTCTCTATCAAAGCACATTTGCATGTATGTGTGTTATGGAGAAAAATGAGGGAAAGCAAACATAATCCGTACATAGGGTGTATGCAGGTGCATCAGAGAATGGATTGCAGCAAGACCATTCCGAATTTATTCCTTATGTACATACTGTGTTTATTTAATGGCCTGTGGTTACAATGATTTTTTTTCAGTACTTTTGAAATTGTTTTGCTTTTTTTCAATACTTTTGAAATTAAGCATAATCATTTCAAATGTAACCAATAAAACAGTATTCAACAGATGATTGCTACTTAAACTTAACACATGTTTACAATAAGGCTGAATCAAAGCAAGCCCCATTATGCCTGGATCGTTTGCTATCTATGAGCATAAGCATGGCGGTCAACAAACATGTTTCTTCAAATGAAACAGACATTCACTGTACAAAAATAAATCTTTCTGTGGTAACATTTTGTGTATACATGGTGTATGTAACTTAATTATAGTTGAATGATGTAACATGCATAAGAAAACTTGGAATGCAAGAAAATATGGTCACTACTTAAAAAGTATGTAAAAGCAGAACATAAAATCGTCAAAACATAGTAAGAAGACAAGGAATTAGGCAAAGGCAGGGC